TGTATTGCATTGTTAGAAACATAGATTACTAACGGTTTGTTTGAAAATGGTTTTAAAATAATTGAAAGTATTTTTAGTGAAAATATTTTTAAATTTCAAAGGTACTTGAAATATTTCCTACAATAAGCATTATAGAAGCACTTCAAGTAATTTTTTTCTTTCATAATTCATTTGTATTTTTACTTAAAATTTGTTTTCAAAAACATTTTCACTAACAATACATTCAACAATTTTAAAAATATTTTCAAACCAACCCTAAATTAGAAAATGGAATTTAACCTAGGCCTATTGGAATTTCGTTTGTTTTCCAGCCACTTTATGATGCTCGCTCAGTTTGTCTTCTAGGAAGACACATTGTGTTTGCTGCCAAAAAAGATAAATATAATTTATAGGTGTAGGTATAGGGCATTAGGGTATGGGGCATTCTTGTTTCTGATAAAATGCATTCCACTGGTACTTTGTCCAAAATCAGAAAGAAACGAATGTGACCTGAATCATTACATATACTGTTTTCGAAGAAAGTTAGTGTTATATCATAAAACTAATTAGTAGTATAAAAAATAGTTCAATCTCTTAGAAGCCCATGCAAGGTTACTTCTCTTATCAATGTGGTATTTATTCATTTTCAATAAGCCCTTCACATGTGGCGAATTTTTAAGTCTAACACGTGGACAACACAACGGGGTGACGTGAAGCACGTGTGACCATTTGACTTTACATGTGGAACAACCTGCTCTTATATCATGAAGAAAGTTGGGGTTCCACCATAAAACTAATTGGCAATATAAGAAGTAACTCAATCTCTTATAAGCTCTTGTAAGGTCTATCCTCTCATCAATGTGGTATTAATTCATTCTCAATAGTTTGATAACTTTTAATTAAACTGTCAAGAGAAATGCTAAGAATACTCTCTCAAAAGTGGGACTTGTTATGGTCTCTCTACCACTTCATAGTTTAACGTTAATTTTCGTGCCAACATTGTAAAATATTGTGCCAAAAACATGAGGTAGCAAAAAGTTCATGAAGAACCCCTTTTTTGAGAGGAAAACTAATGAAAAGGGTTTAAAAACTTTGAGTTTTAACGATAACAACAAAATAAAGGGTACAGTAAATAGTATCATGATTGACTTTTTAGTGTAAAAATATAGTTTTTCGTTAAAGTGAATAGTACTAGAAACTTTTCATTAAAGTTCCTTTTTTTGAGAGAATCGCCTAGCATTTCTCAATTGTAAATCATTTGCTATGCCTCTTCATCAACTAACTTTATTTGTTTCACTTTTTTCATAAAATAAAATTATTATACTTAAAACTTCAATTTCCAACAATACAATTTTTGAACCATTTGATATTCCAAACTACTTTAATTTAAAAAGATCATTGAGCTTTAAACAACATGAGAAATACATTTAACGTGCAAACTGATTTAACTTACATCTGCTTCAAATACCACGTAAACTCATTTTTCCCATCAGTCTATATCAAAGAAAATTATGTTGCTCTCCTAATTGGGCCCTATCAAATGTCCCACATGCCCCAAACCCGTTGATAGAAATATAATTTTATTAGGCAATGCTTGGCATCAAAAGCCCACATGGACCAACCCAATTTAGTTCTATCTTTCTGGTGGGGCACACCCGATTCTCAAAAAGGACCCACCCATCCATCCGGTTCTCAAAAGGGTGAATATGGTCTGGGTCAGACTCATTGTTTTTCAAGGGTTAAGGGTTTTAGGGCTTTTCAGCCCAAAATTCTGAGCTTTCAAGTGGTCATGGGGGTGTCCAGCTTTAAGCACCCTCAAAAGAAGAGAAAGGTGGAAACCAAAAACTCAGCCGGAGAAAGCGAAAGCAGAAGATTCATCATTCACGTGAAGCCATGAAACTCAAATCTCTGCACGAGCCACCCACACACCTTTGGTCCGTAGTTGCTTCTACTAATGGTCCCCAACCCTGGTGGTCTGTCTTAGAGATATGACTTCTACCCGATACATTATTGTGACGATATTTTAAATCAGTAACACCACTCTGAACTCATCTTACTTTGTGTATCATGAGAAACGTACCTAAAAATTTGAAATATATCTGTGTTTGCACCACTAACCCATCCCCTTGAATACATATATAATTTACGATTAATTTGAGATATCGTTACAATTGTAGCTTGAATGCAAGTAAAAGTCTGTTAGGTCTGAGGACACCCTTGTGAAGAGAGGATCCTTGTCGGAACCTTTTTGTGAAGATCCCGAGAATCTTCCAATAACATCAGTTCATCATATATCATGTGGTCATTTTTTATTAGATATTGTTTATATTTAATTTTAAATAAAAATTTTTACAATAATTTCTGATCGTACGATGTACGATAAACAAATGTGATTGGAAGATTCTTAGAAAAGAGAATCGAATGAGGATCCCCCTATACCCTTGTGGACCTCACCTTCTGACCCTGCAGACCCATCATCTGACACTCTTATGCACTCCGATTATCTTTCCCAGTCCCCGTCAAAGTTTCAAAAGAGCTTTTAAAAATTTCTACTTGGACACGCCACCGCTCGTGTAAACGGGCACACACACAAAACCCGCTGGTTTTGCACGCGTGAGAGAATGTGCTGCGCTTTCTTACCTCACTCCCTCTCCGTCTACACCTCGTAGGCTGTACCGTGTAGCAACATCTGAAATCTCCGAAGCTAATGAGTTTTCAACTCGTGTGACTTTGACTGTCTCAAACACATCGACGGCCCAGATTTTGCACCCTCGGAAACTGAATCTGAGCCGTTGACGTCGGGAGACAATCCTCGAGGACTTTTAGATGTTTCACATGTTGATTAGCGACCTGAAAGCCCCGACATGGGGAGCTGATATGTCGGTCTCTCGTCATGGGAAAACGAGAGCTGAAATTGAAGAGAGAAGAGTAGTCCAGTACATGCCACGTGTCGATGAGTGAGATGGATGCTTCGTATGCCCCGTGGTAAAAGAGTTACTGTGGGGACCATTTGGGGTTGTAGGGTTTTCGGGGAGGCGTGATAGGAACGTAGGCAGACAAAGTGCATGTGAAGGAGGTTAATGAAGGTTTAAGATGGGCTTTTATGCCCAAGCTGGGGTCTCCTGTCGCACTGTTTAGGGATCTGTCCCTCCCCCTAGCGTGATCAAGTTGCCATCAAGAACAACGACCATCTGCATGGCATTTTGGATTTCGGTTTCGATGAGATGTGAGTTTGAAATATATAATCAAAGGATAGAAACAGTCGTATGGGAGCCCTAGCTCGTCGATGACTAACCGTAATTTATTTGATGAACGATTATAAAATAAATTGTAAATTTAGACGATTCATGTTATTGGTATTTGCATTCTCTCTCTGCGATGTACACCAACTTCAGAGTTGTTTCAACGTAAAGAAAATTTATCCTAACGATCCTTATGTCACGAGGGACTAGGGTTGACACGAAATCAAGGGCACGCGGGGGAATTGCAAGGACCAAATCAAGCATTCATGTTGCCGTCTCCATCGGTTCCATATAGCTGCAAGTCTGCAACTAGCTAGCACTCTGGATTATACCACATCAATTGCCATATATGCCCCCTATAGAGCCGCTTATTTCAGAAAGACTTTTTAGCCAAAATAGTTTCTGAGATTCACATAACACATCATTTTGGTCCTTGAGATTTGAAACCGGTTCCTAAGATTGTCTACCATCAATCATTTTGGTCATTCTGTGCAAAATTATGTTAGATAAGGATCAAAATGACAAATATACACTCGATTTAATAAACAATGGGCCAAAATGATTTAACAAAAATTAAGGGTATTTTGGTCATTTTATTCTTATTTAATGGAGATTTTTCACGAAATAACCAAAATGATTGATGGTAGACAAACTCAAAGACCAATTTTATTGATTTCAAATCTCAATGACCAAAGTGAGAAGTTATGCAAAACTCAAGACCATTTTGACTAAACAACCTTTCAGAAACTACCCCTTTGAGCCCTTAAAGAAGAGTGGCATTTCTGGTTAAATTCCACAAAACCAGTGGTATTTAGAGAGGAAAACCATAAAAAGAGAAAATGTGTGCTGGTGCTGGCATGGCCCAGGCCATCGAACAGTGATTTTCTTGAATATAAATTATTTGATGTTTGTCTTCGGAAAGAAATAAAACACAGAAAAGATATTCCTTGGGCCAAAAACTGTCTCTGCATCTTGTGGCTAGGAACTCAGATTTTTGCATTAATGCATGTTTGCATATCTTCAATCTTTCCAAAAGAAACCAGGTCTCTAAAATGTACAACAAAAGGTGATAATTTGTGGCCATGATTGTGAAATTGGACCCTGTAAAAGTTTGGTTTCACAAAAAAAAATTTGAAATAAAGCAAACATTTTTCGGATCATCTCATATTCCGATTAAGAAATAAATGTTGGACTATTGTTCGTAAGTTATGAATAATTTGTTGATATTATCATCGCTAACAAAACATATTGATACAATATCATATATATCTGGAGGTCATACATAGAGAATTTTGAGATTAAAAAGAAAAGAAAAGAGCAAGAAACAAGCTGTTTCAAACCGTCTTATTGTCCGACTATGAAACAGAAGTTAGAACTATTTCTATGATATCAATAAAGTGTTATCTTATTTGAAACATATCAACGTACATGTTATTAGTACTTTTGCGACAATATCGACTACATCGGGACGTCATTCACAAAAAAACTTCTAACCATCTGATGCAAAATGTATAATAAAACTGTGGGGAAAGAGGTTGACCAGTAAAAACCACCTCAACCTTTTTGGTAAAAGAGAGTAATTTGTGAAATGTAGAAAACTTTAAAACCATGGTACAAAAGTTAATCTAAAAGGCCTATCTGTTTATCCCCAATCTTGGATAGAGAAAACTGAAAAGTCTTATTCAGTGGCTAACTATTGACAATTTGTCCTTTTATTTTTCAATTTTTATTCCTGATCTTTAATTTATTTATTTTATAAATCGAGTACAAGGAAGCAAAAGCCATCCGAAATTTCATAGCTTTCTGAATATTTCTGTTTTGTTTTTTCACTTGTCTGTGAAGACATCCCTCTCTCTCTCTCTCTCTCTCTCTCTCTCTCTCTCTGTTTGTTTACCAATTTAAGTACTCCCCCACAGCTTTGATAATGGTGTAAAACCCTTTACTGCTGCCACAAACTCCTCTCTCTCTCTCCTCTGTTTCTCTCTCTAACTTAAAATGCTGTGAAATCTGAGAGCTCAAATAGATTTATAGAGAGAGAGAGCGGTGAAATATGAGAATGCTTGTTGTGAAAGAAGTTAGCTTTCAATGGCCGCCAATAGGAGCTCCACTAAACATGCTGAGAGAGGACCATCCAAGCAGCCTTCCTCCTCCTTCCCCTTCTTTCAACAGCTCTGTCAATGCGGTCTCGTTTGGGTTCGTAGCCACTGCCATCCTCATCTCTATGTTCTTAGTCATGGCCATCTTCGAGAGGTTCCTCAGACCCACCTCTCCGGATTTGTCGCCATCCGGCCGCCGTGGGGGTGGAGATCTTGAGGCCCAGATGGGTTTCAATGGAAAGCTCAGCCACCCTTCACCAAAAGTAAGCAACCCACCAACCAAATTCTTCAAAGAAAACTTGTTTTGAATTGCATTTTGGTGTGATTTGTGGGAAAAACTTATGGTTTTTACTAATTTTTAGAAAGAAGTAGCAAACTTGGAAATGGTGGTGGCTTTTAGGGAAAGTGCTTTTGTTTGCTTTCTCTAATTGTTTTTTGGGACAGTTATTTTGTTTGTTGAGCTTAGGTGATCATTATCTCTCTGACATAATCAAGATTTTTTATAATTCTACATTGTCATTAATGGAATTCTAAGTTTGGGGGGTTTTAGCTTTCTAGAAATCCATAATTTCTCTCTTTTTTCTGCAAAATTTCCTTGAACTTCTCAGATCAAGGTTTTGCCTTTCCAAATTTTTCTTCGACAATGCGATATTCTAAACGTACTCTAATTTACGGAGTTTGGTCAGGTGAAGGGCAATGGTACACTGCTCTGATCCACTGTCATAGTTCACGAACTTTTATGTTTCCCTTTACTCACCAAATTGCTATTCATTAACAGTGAAATGAATTACATGTATGCATTTCTTGTACATGTCATACCTTAAACCATCATGATGTTCTCTCTATTATTACCTACTTAATTACGGTTTTCACACATCGATTGGAGAATAACTTCCTTGCAACGGGGATACCGCTGCAGTAACATTCCCGGTGCAGATAAGTTTCTCTCCCGTCAACAGGGGTTTCTGATAGTGTGTTTGATTTGATCTTTTTCCTACATATTGTAGCTTTGCTGCAATTAATAGAGTGGTCTGTGGTTTAGGGTCCAGCTCAGTAGTTGGCTGTTGTGTGGTTGGTTGGTGTTTGGTTCCAAGCAAAGCGACTTTGGACTGTTCTATACGGACTTGGTCTTTTAGTCCCACCACCGTTAATGGTGGTTGTCTTCAGGACCATCGTTGTTAATGGCGGTCGTCTTCAGGACCATCGTTCCCAGTCTTTTATGATGTAGCACGGATTGAGCACTGAGTCGGAGTCAAGCTAGTAATTTTCGCACTCGCATTTTTTCCATATGACACTATGTTTTTCTAGTCTTTGGATTGAAAAAACCAAACGAGAATTAAGAGACTAGAGGCGTAGTGCAGAATGAGAAAAACGGGAGTGTGTGTATTGTGTAGGGTATTATTATTAACGAAAACTTTACATCCGAATCCAACTTAGTTTGTTTCGAAGTGTCCTTTCAATGTTCAAACATAGGATTCCCTAAAAATAAGGTTCTCTTAACTTTGCCAGATGATTGCAAGGATATAGATTTCGACAAAAACCGAAATAGATAGGATTTCAAGAACAATATAGGTCGATTGTGTTCTGAACTTGTCTTCAGTTTGTTGGCATTGTTGTTTAGTTCTTGTACCGGAAACTTTGCCGACCAGGAAAGGCAACGTTGTAGTCGGTCTGATTCGCAGAAACTTGTAGTCCCCCAACAGTGATGTTGAAATGAAACAGGCTCAAATTAAGTACCGCAGACAGTCCTTTTAACTATTGCTATCAGCATTCACTAAACCCTATTTTTAAAAGCATAAGTCAAATGCATATGGTAGTGGTTAGGGTGACATTGCAAACATTATCTTATAAGTTGGAAAAACACATCATCAAACTTAGTCATGTGATTAGGTTTCAAAAACGTTGTTTAATGTTTGGGTATTTACTGTTTGTTTATTTATGTAAATTATTTGCTGCCAGAGTAATATAGTACTGCCCAGGTTATCCATATCTTCAGGCATCTTGGTTCACAGTATTCCCATGATGTAATTTATAATTAAGTTAAATATGTGGATTGGTCCCCTTAAGCATGTGCAAAAAGTGATGATTCAATGGAAGCAGACGAGAGATTTTTCAGCTCGGAACACGAGCACACACACCATATGTCATTATACAAGTGGAGGGACACTTGAAAAAAAAACTACCCTCCACTTGTACAATAACATATGGCGTACTGCCCTATGTTCCAAGCACATTGAAATATCTCTCGGAAGCAAACATAACAGCATTAATTAGCAGTAGAAAACTAACCCTCATTTGTTAATCTTTTGTTGCATTGGATTAGGACACGTAAATCGTTCTTGCTCACTAGGTATTATAAGATAGAATGACACATTTTTCCACCTGAGATTCTTAGACAAGCTCAGAAGTTTGGACTTTGATGTAGGAACTGATTTGTTTTGCTGGAAAATGGCGTAATATGCATAATTGAGTATGCGATCTTCATGGAAATTTGGATCCGGGGTTGAGAAATGAGTCGTTGTATCCAAAAAATTTGGCCCATGTTATTGCCTAACTTGTCTAATGACCTGATTGTATCTGTCATTGTATCTATGTATTTTGTTTATGTATCGATGCATTGTCGAATTCTGACTCTCTCTGCAAGCCAGCTTCATTTCTTTATACTTTCGAAGCTGTAAGCTCATGAGTTTGTAATTTTGTCGATTTTATGCAGATGACTGTGTATGCCAGTGGAGTTTCAGTGTTGATGCCTGGAGACGATATCCCCACCTTCATTGCACACCCAGCCCCCGTGCCTTGCCCTCCAGAACGCGTTGTTTTACCTCAGCAGCAACACATATCATTGCCGAACTCCCCACCTCCACCTCCGCCTCAAACATAAGCGCAAAGTCAAGTTGACAAGTACAAAACCAAACACGAAATGCCCGCTTTTTTCGTATCAAATTCTATTCATGATGAGATCGCGAAATGAAGCAGAAGAATTTGAAGACGACAACTCCAAACTGCCCAATTTTTCTTCAGGCAATAGTACCTGATTCTGTATATGCCATTTTCGAAATGTGACCTTGGATCCTTGGAGATGGATTATAATTCCCATCAAATGGATTTAGAAAGTCATAAGTTTCTCTGTAAAGTGTAAGCAGTTTATGATTGGTGTTGACTATCGAGTAATAGCAGATTATGCAGCCCGTTATATACTGATAACAACTAATTCTTTTTACAGTTCGCCGGAGTCATATTCCAGCACTTAGGTCATCTACAACCGACTTGGCCAAGGGACCATAGGGCTACAAATAGCTCAGAATGACACGAAAACCGTCTCCAACTGAGGGTTAGGCCAAAGGGCTTGTGGGCTCCATTGGGCCCAAACCCTCAAATTAGCCCAACGTACTAGTCATTTCCAGCCCTCCAGCGCTAGAATGTCAAGCTTGACATTTTGCCAGCCCTCCAGCTCCAGAAAGTCAAGCTTGACATCTTGCCAACCTTCCAGCTCAGCCCATTTGAATGCCAACGATTACCTGGCATCAGCATGACGCCAGCTAGCAACGGCAAAAAAAAAAAATTAGAAATTTTTTTTTAAAATTCGTTCAAAAAAATAATTTCAAAATTTGACGGTAGCATGACGTTAGCTAACCCGCTGGAGGGTTGGCAAAATGTCAAGCTTGACATTCTGGCACTGGAGGGCTGGAAATGGCCAACCCGCTGGTCTGATTGGGGGGTTTTGGCCCGATGGAGCCCACAAGCCCATTGCCCAAACCCTCGGTTGGAGACAGTTTTCATGTCATTCCGAGCTATTTTTAACCCTATGGCCCTTTGGTTGGGTCAATTGGGGATGGCCTTAGAGTCGTTATATCAAATCACCCTTCTTAGATTCACTTAAAAAGTACAAATTCGTGTATTACCAGAAACAATTATCATCCATGAGATTTTAACTTCAAATTTGGAGAGTTGTCTTGCGTAAAAGAGTTAGCCTTTCATAGGTTTATAAGCTGTGAGAAGTCATTGCCATTGCCAATTGATTTTGTTATGAAACCTTAACTTTATTCATGATATCAAAAACAAGTTAATCGACTTTCAAAAGCCAAATACCACAAATGCTTAGAGCAACTCCACCCCTATCCACTTTGCGCCAGCATCCAGCCCATTTATCCACTTAATTGAACAGTAATAGACCCAATGAACAGTAATAGGCCAAAGCATCTCCACCCCAAAAAAAATGTGTTGGCACCCAGTCTAAAAATGCGCTGGCACAAACGATCTCCACCGCTACAAAATGCGCTGGCACCCAGTCCATTTAAAATATTAAATAATTTTTTTATAAAATAATAAAAAAAAATAGTTTTAATTTCGGATAGTGTAGAAAATATTGAAATGTGGTGTAAGGTGGAAGATGAGGGTTAGGTATTTATAGAAAAAAAAATTAATTTTTTAAAATTTTTTTGTATTTTTTAAAAAAAATTTGACAATTTTTAATAAATTTTAATGTTGTAATTAATCTGGACCGTTGGATTTGAAAAATAATCAAATCCAACGCCAACACGCTGCCACGTGGCCAACGGTCAAATTTCTGACTGTTGGGCCTTTTTTTTTTTTGGTGAAAAAAAGGTGGACCGTTGATCTGTGATCGGACGGTCCAATTTAAAATTTAAATTTAAATTTTTTTTACCGTTGGAAATCCAACGGCCTACAAAAACTAGCCGTTGGAAATCCAACAGCTCTGAGGAGGGCCACGTAGCCCTTAGCCGGATGAATGCAAGTTGCCCTGCACGCGGGCCCCACCGCCTGCAAAGCTTGTCGGCTACTCGCCTGGACTCCCGCGTGTTGTGCACGCGCCAGCAAATGGACCGGCTTCTGGGTCCGTCCGAAATAGGCTGGGCTGCTGCCTGGCTTGGGCTGGGTGCCTACTTACTTATATCAAAACAAGTTAGTCGACTTTCAAAGGCCAAATACCACAAATGGTTAGGTCACCCAATAAATGTTGGCCGTGCGGGTGGATTAAGGTTCTCCACATGTGAGAGGTGTGGCAGAATGTGCAGAGTTCTCACATTGAAAAGTTAACGGTCGTTGAATGCTTATAAAAAATTTATGCTATTTTTCCCATTGTTAATTGATTTCGAGACAAAACCTCGACCTTCTTTACAGACTTCTTGTAACAAAGTGGAGTCTGGAGTTTGAATGGTTAGAAAAGATGCAACTTCTTTTTCTGCATGTGAATCATGTGATACCAGTTGGGCCGAAAACTATGGTAAAGTCCATTAATGGTTAGGAAGGTGCAACTTTCGTTCACATTTTAAGCCTAATTTGGACCCAAACAGCCTTCATTTTCTTCCCTTGAAGGACTATCTAAGATGAGAAAATCGGTTAAGATAGTTTGTATATTGAAACGAAGATCTACAAATGTCTTGGTTAAAAATTGCAATTATGAGATAGAGGCTCAGGAAAAAAAGGGTAGAGGAAGACTTAGGACTACTTGGAATTAACTTTAAGAAAATATACGGAGTACTTGAAGCTAACAGACGACTTGGCTTAAAACCAAGTGCAGTAACGTTTAAGGATCTATACAATCGATTACACTTAGTGGAATAAGACTTTGTTGGTAGTGTTGTGCCATGAATCTTACCACTAAATACTACAATTCAATCAAATATAATAAAATCTGAAGGTGCTGTTTTGGCTATTCATAATCCTTCACAGGTTATTGGTACTTTGTGCTCAAAATTTAAACTTTGAAAACCTGAGAAATCCCACCTCTGACTATCCAATTGCACATGTATGATTGGATAAAAAGTAAGTTGCATGAAAAGGACACCGGGAAAAAAGTTATGAAAAAGTTCAAAAAATAGGGGATATTGGCAGAGAACTAAGCACTAAATCCATGAAACCAAAACCACCAACGGCACAATGTTACGAAAGAATAAACAAAATTAGGAATAGGACCACTTTCTATTACCAAATTGTCTCCCACTCCAACGGCTACAAAAATATTGAGCTAGTTTTCCCTCCCTCCTAGTCCAAGTTTCAATTCACAAATTGCTAACTTCTATTCAATCTTCTATATATAATATTTTTCAATTTGTGAGCTGTTATCGGCACTTCAAATTAAACACAATACATTTCTCTCTAATGTAAAAAATACAAAACGGCAATCTTAAAATACTGATGTCAATTTTCTTTACTGGACTACCAAATTAGTTGAAGAAAACTTGTTGAATAAAGTTGTGAAATATGAAGAAATTGCAGCAATGGTCCCTCAACTTTAACTCAATTGGAATAATAATCTCTCAACTAAAAATTCGTGACCATTGGTCCCTTAACTCATCAAAACGTGTAGCTATAGTCTTTTTCGTCAATTCCGTTAGAACTTTCATTGAAATGAGTCAAGTGCCATGCACATGAAGCTGGATCAATAGGCAAATATGAAAAACCAAATGAGAAAAATTGTAGCAATGATTCCTCAACATTAACCCAATTGGAGTAATGGTCTCTCAACTTTAACTCAATTGTATCAAGTCATTCCAACATGACTCATTTTGACAGAATTATAATGGAGTTGACGAAAAAGACCATAGTTACACGTCTTGATGAGTTAAGGGACCAATAATCAGAAATTTTTAGTTGAGAGACCATTGTTACAATTTTTTCACAATAATAAGGTGCAAATTATTGTTTATATATTATTGGGTTTGGTTCCCCAAAAGAATGAGGATGACAGGCAAATTTTCATGCTTTGTGTGGTTGGTTCATGGTTGTAAACGTCATAAGTAGAAGTAGCAATTTAGCAAAAAGCAAAGAAAAGTTAAAGTAGCAAGGAAACCACAAATTATAAGGCCCCTCGAAATTATTGAAACCGACTTCTCTAAGTTTTAGCATTTCTTTGCATTATTTTCTAAAATTCTAATACACTTCAACACCACTTGACACTCAACTTGAGAAAACTTATAAGCGAGGTTTTCCTTGCTTTTTTCCGTTGCCTAAATGACAATTTGACGCATGTTCGAGACTAGCTTATAAAAATATATACAGTTTAGCTCTTTACGTATAAGGAGTTATTCTTACTTACTTGTAAATTAATATCTGACGCATATACAAAAGTAACTCTTTAAAGTCACAAAAAGAGAGTTGATGCATGCTTATTAAACAATGATTTGTTTATAAGAAGAAATGACCTCCGCACGTGTAAGGAATCAAGTATACTCACTAGACACAATCAAGTGCGGAATTATCAGAGAGATAGGCCAAAAGCCCACTTCCAACAACACCGATCATGTATCCAACTTGGTAATTACCACTGCACAATTCGCAAGATGTGAGGTTATTTTCTCAGAGATATAGTTAATGTAGAATATTTCAACCCAAGCATGTTTTTACACACGGACAAACTATGACTGTCAACGTAGAAACCAAAACAACATCGGGATATTATCTATTTTAACATTTTTACGTGACATTATTGGTGTAGAATACAAACGGTGGCATCCCGATGTGTAGGAAAGCATCTCTTGTGATCAAGAGCCAGAGAGACATAGCAGTATTTTTGGTGCAAGAAATCAATCAGTAGTCTCAGGGACTATACGTGTATTGGTGCAGAACTGAGACTATACATAAACTAGCACAAGAAAATGGAATGAGATTCTACTGAAGGGACTATACGTGTATTGGTGCAGAACTGAGACTACACATAAACTAGTACAAGAAAATGGAATGAGATTCTTTTCGGATCTCATACTCCAAAACAAATGGATTTAGTAATTCACACCGTTCAAGAAAGAGATTAAGACGTTAAAAAAGATGAGAACATAATTTTGTGTGGGAAATGAACAGCATAATTTAAATTGAATTATTAGATTTGTAGGCGCCAGAGTGTGACACAAAGGAAGTATCTCAATCCCAAGAAAATATATAATGGACTGCCCAATATGCAGCTGTTGCAGCTGAAACCCCAAAAACAGACATCAATTACATGGGAACTAGATCCTCTTCCGAGTTCAGGATGGAGATTCTTCTGAGCAGTCTATCTGAACAGTTACAATTTGATCCAACGGCTCCAAATAAAAAATTTCTTTAAAAGTTATAATAATTTTAATCATTGGATTGAATTTGAACGGCCTGATAGGCTGCTCATGAGAATCCCTATCCTCAGCAGGAGGGGATCCAGTTCCCAATTACATGTCCAAATATCCTTACAAATCTGTGACACCAGCGGTAGGTAAATCAAATCTCCTTCTGCCCACTTCAGTCAGGAACTTCATTTCTTACATCACTATATCGTACCCCAAATTCCCATATTGCCCATTCACATCACAGTTATTTACATATACTGAAAATCCATGAAAGCAAAGACGTACACTAGGGTTTCTAGCTTCTATGTTCTAAACCCAAAAAAGAGATGGAGGTCCAAATTTAGGAGAGTAACTTAAGAACTTCAGTGCCGAGGCGTTGTAACGTTATCAGTTAATTTAAATACATAATTGACTTGAAATATTATTTCTGTAACATCGACGGCGTTGCACCTTATAGGAAAATAAAGCACTCCAAGGAAACATGCGGATTGTCGAGAGACTCATTGGTAGTGGGCCACGTACCCTCCTTGTTGGGCTCCTCCGCCACTCTCCGGGTCGGACCAGAGCTCGAACTCTCAATTGGACCAATTGCAGTTCGAGTCGGATACTTTCCGGATCTTCTGGGCGAGGGGCTCCGACCTGCATTGGTCCTATTAACCCCACCGCCGTCCGTAATCCTCATGGCGGGTGACCTAGACCTCCGACCGGAACTCTCGCCCGGATCACACCGGTTGGACTCGGTTCTCGGCCCACGCCTGGACATTGGCTGCTGACCCGGGCCCGGTTCTCTGCTCTGAACCAACCTCACTGACCCAGCACCATTTGGCCCATATCTCCGACCCGGAGAGGATTCCGTTCTCCGAGTCGGTGACTTACCCACAACCCGGTCTCTCCTTTGACCCATTGAAGAGTCCCGGTTTTGTCGTAATTTCATCGGCGACCTGTTGACTAACCTCTGATGAACCTCTTCGTCGTCGTCTCTGGTGACGGTGGTGGCCGACATGCTCTCGCTCAGGCTGCAAATCTCCGACACCTCCGAGATCTCTCCTCCGCCGCCGCCATTGTTGTTGCTAATGGGTATTTTCTGCTCAATCTTTTCTGGGTCGAGTTTAGTTTTCAACGAAACGAACACTGGTAGCTCTTCTTCGTCGGAAGCTGCTCTTTTTTCCTGATCTCGATCTAGTACTGGCTCGTGTTCGAACAGCGGCGGCGGCGAAGACTGCGGTGGAGGTTTGGTTTTGGGTTTCGGTGTCTCCGACAGCACTTCTTTCACTGTCTCTTCATCTACTGGCGGCGGTGCTCTACTCTCGCGGACGGCGCCAGATCTTAACTCTTCACTGCCCACCAATGAATGCCGGTGCTTCTGAGGACCTAAAGCGGAGGACTTTCCGGCGGCGGCGGTGCTTAAACAGCAACCCATTTGAAAAGATTCAAGCTTTCAATCGAGTTTGCAATCAGAAGCGCGCTAAACTGGAGAAGGCATTGTGGATTTTTGTCACCGAAGCTGCGATCACGGGGCATGCAACAATGGTGGGTGGAGGTCTTAATCTATATAAAGCAGGAGAAAGAGAGAGGGGGTAGAGAGAGTGAAGGGACAGCTCAGGGCCGGGGGAGGGGGGGATTGTTTCTTGAGGAAAACGCTGAAAGCTTGGGAACACTGGAGAGTCAAAGAAATGTATTTATTGCAATGCAGACGCAGGACATTTTTGAAGGGTCTCTCTCTCTCTCTTTCTGCAACTGTAGACGCAGATGAGGGGTGGACAAAAAGTTAAAAAAAAGGAAATTTTTACTGGCCAAAAGAAAACAAGTGGAAGGGAAATCTAGCATACTAGCTACTGCCACTGCTCTGCTGCATTTGTTTATAAATATGGTTCTTGTGATAATTGTCTCGTGATCTGTGGCTCATTATTTTAAATTTAGGGTGCAGAAAGTACTTTTATCAGAAGTGCTTTATTAGAAATTGGAAATATTTATTAAAATTAATTGCTTTATTAAAAAATATTTCAAATGCTTTTACACCTGATAATGTTTTTTCAGACAAATACAGTTCAGAAATGTTTTTATTATCAAATGAGATTTATTACGTCTTAAAATATTTTCACTTAAATTACATTAGTTGCTTAATGTACCGGTAAAATGACATCTCGTGTATAAAATACTCTAATATGACTAGATTTTGACACTAAATCGCAACTAGTGTATCCTTGATCGAGAATTTAACAGCTAAATTTCAATGTGTAAGATACTCTTAAACAAATATCATATACATAAGCTGCATCATTAAAAAAGGAAAGAGATTCTCTCTAGATCTATACACCTGGACCTCAGGGATCAAATAATTCGGATCTTTAAATTTGATCCTATGGTAAAAATATATTGTAAATTTTAAATTTTTTTACTAACTTCTCTACTTTTAACCGTTTAATTAAAATTTAAAAGTCTTAAATTATTTAATCTCTAAGTTCTGAATGTATAGATTCGAAAAATATCTCTTCACATTAAAAAATGGAAAGCGTTTTTAGTAGATAGCGCCGCATGAGAAATGGTTATACAATTCCCAAGCGTCCATCCTGTACATGGGAATGTGCAAGAAAGACAAATGCCATGTCCAATCAGTATGGGACTGTACCCTGCCGTCCCATGGCAAGACTACCACAAGCAATTGAATTTGGACTGGACTAAAACAAAGGTGGTGGGTGGGCGTCCTTGTAACTTGTAGATGCTCATACGGCTTTGAATCATCAAATAGGAGCCCCCGTAGACCATGAACCAGAAGAGGGTAGAACAACACTTTTAACTTCCCACGTACATTTCTTTATTTTTACTGTTATATTTATTAAGTTACATGAAAACAAACAACGAACATGATCATATGAATTTGTGAGAGAAAATTCAGTATAGTATGTTCTAGAGTAGTTTATACACATTAGTACTAATATATTGACTGATGCTCTTAGTTATCCGACGAGGGATGCACACTCACTGACATTGTGTATAACTTTTGGCTATACCTATGACTAAGATATCAGAGATAAATATCACCATGAAGGCAAAACACGAGTATAATTTTAGGGATAAAATTTGTAGTTAATCCTATTAGTGCAATCAAGATGTTAATGTGGTATGCGTGATGAATTATGAACCAGATGACTTGTGACATACTAATATGTGGACATGGTGATTGCCATGACAAATGAGACTATGAGATTAAGCAGACGAGGACATGCAGGAGAAAATGGAAAGGTCATCTCCTCCTCCATTTGGCAAAACAGTTTATGTGAGATCTGCAGTAAAACAGTGTGGGATGGATGTCAACTTGGCATATTAAAAAGTAAATCGATAGACAGAGTCGCGCAAAGAGCCACAGACATAAACGTGTGATAAAAGAAGAAGCAAAGGATTTTGAAGAAATGTGGCTTCATGTGCATCAATTATTGTTCTATGCACTCTGCAGAATTCACCTGCCTGCAGAAACGAAGACCTAAGCCTTAAGAGCAGCTCCACCGTCGTGGATAACCCGGTGGACAGGGGAGGTTTTCAATCCAATTGCCTCCCCTTCTTGCTCCAGCCCATGCGGGTGACTGGGCTGAGGGGGGGCCCAAGTGAGAGGGCGGGCTTGAATCGCAGGCCCGAGTGCCGTAGGGCAAGCTAGTCCTGACGTTAGCCGCATTATACAATTAATAAGATAGCCCGGTGGACAGAGGAGGTTTTCAATCCAATTGCCTCCCCTTCTTGCTCCAGTTTATGCGGGCGATTAGGTTGAGGGGGGGGGGGCTTGAGTGAGGGCGGGCTCAAATCGCAAGCCTAAGTGCCTTAGGGCAAGTTGATCTTGATGTTAGCCACATTATAAAATTAATAGAAAAATAATAATTAAAAAATGTAAACAATTAATAAAAATTCCAAAAAAAAAAAAAGATTTAATTTTTCTATAAATATCTTATCATTATCTTTCACCTTACACCACAATTTTATATTTTCTCAAATACTTTGGGTTGTAATTTCTTATTTAATGAAACGTGATACAACGAGACCGATTAAAAATCATATCCAAAATTTGAAATAAAATTATTTATTATTATTTTATAAAATAAAAAATACTAATATTTTATTGCATATTGCCATAGCTATTTAGTTTAGGGGTGAAGATGCAAAATGCAATTATTTATCATTAAAGGCAGTTACTGTTCATTGGAGGGGATTCAATAGGCATTTGCCTTGGGGGGCCTTTCCTACACTGGAGTTGCTCTAAACACAAAACCAAAAGTTGCAACTTGCATGCATACTAGAAAAAGCTGTTGAATTGTCAGAGAGATGGCCAAGGGTCCAACTCCAATAACATCGATATTGTCCCTAACTTGGTAATTACCACCTGCACAATCCATCAACTATGAGGTTTTATCACAAAAGGCCTCGGTATTAGTTGGAGTGAGGTTAGGATATTTAAACTCTTATTTTCTCATTGATACGGTGTGGGACATTTCAACACGCCCCCTTGATCCACACATTGACAACCACGTGGAGCCAAATGAACTCACCCTACAAGCGGGGCAAAAAGACCCACCCATCACGTGACAGTACGTATGAGCCCGCTTCCTGGCTCTGATACCATGTAGAATTATCAGAGAGACGGGCCATAGGCCCAACTCCAATAACATCGATACTGTACCCAACTTGGTAATTACCACCTGCACAATCTGTCAGGTGTGAGATTTTATCACAAAATGTCTCAATGTTAGTTGAAGTGGGGTTAAAATATTTAAACTCTTCTTTTTATATTGATACGGTCAATGTGAGACATTTCAACAAAAACATGGTCCTCCCACACCCAAACAAAATAATGCGCATAAATGTTGGTATGTAAACAATTGTGGTTTTGTTCATTTATTTATGGCTGATTTTGCCATGCATGCCAAGGAGATGGTTCGATTAAGAGAGCTTTTATGTTTGGTATATTTGGGCTTGTCAATGTTGTCATGCGAAATGGCAAACAACTGTTTTGGTGAATTTAACATTGGGCTGGTTCGGCCTTGGAGTGAGTTTGGATCAACAAGAAATCGAAGAACATCACCAACCCACATCTAGTCAGAATGATTAATGAGATATGATTTTAGGGTTTGTTTATGGCAAATTCTGGGGTTTGTCGGTCGGGTCACGTAATTGTGCACCCATACAGAAACGTAAAGAAGGGCCCAATGTTGCATTTTCTCCTGTCTCTACTTAACCGTGGTTTTATTATTTTGAAGATTTGTTTAGGATAAATTCTAAGATTTGTTTGTCGGACCACGTGATTATGCAGCTACACATACACGTTAAAGATTTAATATTATCTTTTTCTTCTTGTCCCAACATAAGTTTTTATCCTTGTATTATACTTCAAGCGATCGAACTCTAAGCTAATTACTCCACCCTCCCTCGCCACTTAGATTAACGCCAATGACTTGTTAACCTTCAATCGTTGGTGTGAACCTTCTTTTAAGAAACATATATAAATATACTATACTAATAAAACAATGCTCTAAGTTACGACTTCTGTCATTGTTTTTCTACTTGAATCAGCTAGACTACAAGCTGCTTCGAGACAAGTATGTCTGTGAAGTGTCTATTTCTTTGCTCGTCTCAGGGATAATAATCAAACTCTTGAGGAGAGAGAAAACTGGCCTGTGAAAGGTTTAGCTACTTAAGTGCCATACAGGCTGTTGCTAGTTAAGTTTTGCATTAGGTATTTGCATAATTAGGTGCATTTTTGTTCACCACTCTTAGACGGTGGTGATGCTCTCATTCTATTTATCACTGTTAAATGAGTTAACATTCCGATATTTGCATCTATCCACTATACGTGTTTTTGAAATTTAAACTCATCTAATGATGATAAATAGGATGGTGAACGTCACCATCTCTTAAGGGTGGTGAGCAAAAATATCCTTGGATAATCACATTTCAAGATGTGGAAGAATTCAACGATTGGCTCATTTCTGTGCAAAGCGTGATCTTGAAGCTTAATTATGTGGACCAAAGTTTGCTAAGTTACAATTACAAATGTACCATGCATATATTATTAGATAAAGTCACCAATTATTCAAAGAGTACAATGATTGATTGCTGCGTGCTGTTTGTATCATTGATTAAAATGGATAAAGCATTGGTCAACATATATGGAAGCATAAAGGGATTCCCTGCCCACAAGTCTAACTTTATCTAAAAATTACATTAACCAACGTCAGAAAGATTTTTTAGAATACCGGAATACAGTACGGTATACCAAGTGTAATAATACAATTGGTTGAAAATTTAAAAAAAAATACCAATTAATTGTATCATGACACTTGGCACTTGGTGTATTGAGGCGGTGTTCCCTTCGCACCAAAAAAGTTCTCCAAACATTGGTTGGTCAAAACAATGTTTTTACCTTCTTGTACTCTAGTTCGAATTTTCTTCTCCGTACATTTAATGTAGTATAGAATAAGAATTGCTTGTCAAGAAAACAATTAATATTATAGATTTTTAAGATGACAAGATTGGGCTTTACTAATACTAATAATAGCTGAGTCTTAAGTAAGATACTAAAGCAATTACCTGCATGAAGAATTAGTTAAAGAGGTTGAGATACTCGTTATCAACTCATTTGAGATCATATTAAGCACATTTGAAGCTCTCGGATTAATAAAGCATACATTCACCCTCCATTGATAAGTAGCAAATCGCAAGTTCTCATTTCTCAAATTGCATGTGATCCAATATCCTAGGATTTATACTCAAACGTCTCAGGTTAAAAACTTTCTCTCCTAAATTAGTAATAATTTTAAACTCTTCCCCTTCCTTATCAATAGTAAGTCCTCGCTTCTCAAGTTCTATTGACCAAAACTAAACAAAATAGCGAGAATAAGTGTGATCGCTAATTGTGGCACTCATCATGCATTGGTGCGTGCAGAGAAAATTATGGGTCTCGTCGTGATTGATATCACATGTGGAAGCTGACGTGAGAATCACATGGGTCCTTTGCATGAATTGCATATAAATGGTTGGGATTTGGTGCAATATTATTAACCATCTAACAATAAATTATAAAACAATACGTTCTCTCACCAAGTTAGCATCACAGATTATATTCATACGGAAAATGCTCTTGAGATCATATCTTAGGACCATATTTTGTAAATTAAATGATGCGGTGATTGATTATTGTATTTATTTTTAATGAATTAAATAAATAATCAAATTATCAACCGTCACATCATATAGTCTAAAAATATAACTCTTTAACATCACCCAATTTATAATTATGCACGGTTGAGTCAAAGTTTACCAAAATGAAATTTGAACTCCAAAGCTATTTAAATTATAAAATAACAATGTTGGTAAGGAGAATTATTGACCTACATTGTTATTAAATTCAGATTTCTTACAAAATTAATCCACTACGTAGATAGCAAAGTGTTGTGGGTTTTTACCAAAATTGCTGAGAAAAAGAATTGGGAAGAACTAGAGTCCAAATATTGTCAAAAACCATTTGGTAAATAGGATCGAGCATGTCGGTTTTTTTCCTTCCATCTTTCTTTTCGTGCTTCTTTAGGAACTTAGTTTCCTATATTCAACCCATAGTGTACATGTAATAGGTCTTATGTGATATAAATGTACTTTAAATAGTAGGAAAATCATAAGAGAGATTGTGAAGGAGAGCAACAAGAGATTGTTAGATTTATTCACCATCAGAATTGTATCTTTTTGCTAGTGAAATTTCTTAAACATCGTCAGACCTCGTTAATTTTTGGCGTTGCTTGTATTTTGCTATTTTAAGGTACTTTCGTGTAGATTTTAATTGTTTAAATTCATCATGGTCTATAATATAATTGTTCTAATTGGAGCCGAATTTAGGTTTAAAAAAAGAATTAGACTAAATTTACCTTGAGAACTATGCTTTCTTTGTTTTTTTCAAAACTTCCAAACCTACAAACTTGTTAAGAGGAAAAATTTTCTAGTGTGCCGAGAATATGACCTGATACACTAGGTAGCATAACACAATTGGTTAAATTTGTTTTTTAAATTTTAAACTAATTATATTGTAGCACTTGATGTATCGAAAATACGACCAGCATACTGACGTTAAGAAGATAGAAAAAATTCATTGATTTAGCACAAAATTAGGTTATCTTGAGTATACAAGTGGAGATAAACTTTTAAGAAAAAAAGAACAAGCGCGGGTTCCTAACGGCAATATAATAAGACCTGAAACTGAAAGAATGTCCAAGAAACAAAAACCCAAAGACCAAAAAGAAACGGTTCGATTTTCTTTTTAAATTTTTGAAAAATACGAAACGCATATCTTTGAAAAAGATACATATGAATAGATGTATACAGAGCACTCCCCTATAGCTTTTCTCGAAAAGGCAGAGCTAACTGTTCAACTCACTTTCTCTTTGTTTCTTCTTCCTCAGCTGCTCCTGCTACTTTCTTTTATCTCTCAAACCCCATCAAAAACTTGATTTTTGTTTGCTAATCTCAAGTTATTAGCCAAATTTGAGTTCAGCTCTTCAGTTTTCAGCCCATGGAGTTTCTGAAAATTTGAACTTTTTAGCTGGGTTTTGAAATTTGTAAGCTTTTGTATGAGTTGGGTTTTTGTATTAAAGGGGTTTTCTGTTTGTTTCCTGAGAAAATAAAAGAAAATAAAGGCAGAAAAAAGCTGGGTTTCGTAGTCGAGGGGTTTTCTGTTTGTTTCCTGAGAAAATAAGGAGATTAAAAGGTTGGGTTTTTCTTGGAGCAGCCTAAGATGGTTCGTGTGCAGTGGGAGATACGCATGCAGTTGTTGATTGGGTTGATGCTGATTCTCACTGTGCCAGCTTCTGTTGCACTGACTGATCCTCAAGATGGTAAGTATGAAATTCTCAATTTCTGAGCTGAATTTATATGCTTTGGTAGTCATCTGTTTGTTTCTCGGGCAAATTTGAGCTAAGTAAACTGAAAGAAAAATACTTGAAAATATGATTTGGTAGTCCTCTGTTTATTGGCAAAATTTGAGCTGAATTGAAAGAAAAATACTTGGAATATGCTTTGATAGTCATCTGTTTGTTTCTTGGGAAAATTTGAACTATACTGAGTGCAAAATGCTTGAACATATGCTGTGATAGTGATATGGTTGTTCCTCACGCATGGTGAATTTTTAAGCTTAATACGTGGACAGCACAAACGTAGTGACATGGACATGTGGGACAACATACTGTTAAAACATGAAGAAAGTTAAGGTCCCATCATAAATCAATTGGCGATTTGAGGAGTAGCCCAAATACTTAGAAGCACAAGTAAAGCCCTTTTTTTTTTCGCAATGTGGGATCAACACTCTCAACAATTAGTCCTCTGTTTGTTTATCGGGAAACCTTTAGCTCAACTGCGAGCAAAATGATTAGAATAGATTTTCCCTTTCTTTTTTTTCTTTTTTTTTTTTTTTTTTTTTGTCTCATAATTTGCTGTTTCTGTGTTTATATTTCTTGAAGTCTTGGGGTTTTTCGTATTTCAATGAATGAAGATTCAAACTATTTAAAAACTGTGAACTTTACTCCTGATTTTTAATTGAGTTTGCGAACGTCATGCCCTGAATGATTATGTTGTGCGTTTTTGTCTTTCAGTTATCGCAATGAATAGTTTATTCGTTGCTCTAGGCTACCCTCCTCTTCCAGGGTGGCTTCTTGTTGGAGGAGACCCATGTGGGGATAACTGGCAAGGTGTTGGCTGCGTCTTCTCAAACATAACATCACTGTAGGTTGATTTCCTTCTTTTGTAAATAGTGCAAACTAATCTTTTAAGCCATATGCTCTGAACTATTTATTTGCATTAACAGAAATCTTAATGGAGCCAACTTGGGAGGACAGTTGGGTGATAGTTTGGCACTTTTCGGGTCCATCATAGAAATGTGAGTCTCATTTTCAATTTTCATCGTCATAAAGGGTGGACAAACTGTCTGGCGTTGGCTGCTTGCATTCGCTTGTTTAAATTTATGTACATCTCTATGTGTAATCTTATGAAACTTTGTTCTATTTTATGGACCAGAGATTTCAGCAATAACCATATTGGAGGGAGTATTCCAACATCTTTTCCCCTGACCGTCAGGAACGTGTATGTCTGCACCACAACTCCTTTTTGTTTTGATTGTTTAGCTGTTTGTATATCCTTTTGTGCATGTTTCCTTAACAAAGTTCTATCTTGTATTTCCCCTACTTTAGTTCACTATCAAATAATCAGTTCAATGGAAGCATCCCAGGCGGCGGTTTGTCATCATCAGCGCAGTTGTTGGAATTGTAAGATTCATTCAACAACTGCTTTTCTTGGTGTTGTATTGTTATTTAATATGCTGTCTTGTTCTCATTGCAATATGATATATTCTTATATGCCTTCAGGTCGTTAGACAATAACCATCTTAGTGGAGAAATACCAGATGCCTTTCAACCGCTCACCGTTTTGAATAGATTGTACGACTTTTTCATTGATTCAATCTGTTTTTCCTTTGTTTTACAATTCGTACTTTTGGTCATAACGATATATCATGGTGCAGGGATCTGTCTGGCAATAATTTAAGTGGTCAATTGTGCCCCTCATTGGCAAATTTGTCATCTCTTTCCACATTGTGAGTTATGATGGTGCTTGATATAAATTTTTGGTCTGTTCAAGACTACTTAAGATTTTTGGATAGTGGTGTCCGACATTTTTTAATTTTCAGATTTCTCATCATCTATTTACTATCCGTGCATAATCTCTGCTAACTGTAAGTATTTCTTGAATGCAGGAACTTACAGAACAATAACCTGGTTGGAACCCTTGATGTGTTACAGGATCTTCCCCTACAGGATTTGTAAATTCTTACATCCGTTATAACTTAAATTACTTTGTCTCATGGCCTTTTTTTTGCATGTTTATCTTAATTGGATTTCGTTTTAGTTCACCAACCAATTCGCAGCTCTCTTCAGCAACTCAAAATTGTTATTTTCTGATGTAGGAACATTGAAAACAATTTATTCTCTGGGCCAATACCTCCAAAGTTGCTTGGCATTCCTAATTTCAGGTAAACCTGAGGGACTATAAAATTTCTGGTGGAACCTTCCGCAGAAAAACCATGCATGCTTATATTGTCACCGCTTTCCGTCTCAGTGTATTCATGTTGAATGTTCCTGTTGTTTCTTTTTTTCTTCATTCCTTTGCCAAACTTCCCCAGAAATTACTGAATGCAGTATAGTTTACATCTCTTTCTACTTTTACTAATGCTGACACCTGTGGGTGCAGAAAAGATGGAAATCCTTTCAATACTACTATTATTCCATCGCCTCTATCACCAGCACCTTCGTTCGTAGCCGGGGAACCTACTTCTTCTCAACTACCTCGGCAACAGGCTAATGGTCCTTCTTCGTCAGCAATGCTAACTACTGCTAGAACTAGGAAATTTTTTACAACTAAGACGGTGATGTGGATTGCTATTGGGGGGATTCTAGTAGTTATTGTACTAATTTTATGTGTTCTAGTAAGATGTTTCAAAGGAAGGAGACGGAGCAAGGAAGAAAAGAAGCATGAGATTAGTGCATATAAGATCCCTAAAGTGAATAAGAATTACAGTGAATCGTCACTTCAGGAAGGTGGTCAAATGGAGAAAGGTAACTTAATTTCTATTAGTTTTACTAAAACATAAGTTTCTCTGTTTACATTATATATAAAAGAAAGGTAACTTTCTGAACTTCTTTTACAGTCCCAAAAGAGGCAGTTATGAAACCATTGGATGACTATGGAGTGGACAGCAACAGAGTGGTTGCAGTTCCAAAGCCACAAAAAGAAAAAAATATAGAGGTGGAAAGTTCTGCAGAAAGTTCGATGTATAAGAGGGATCATTCAATTGACATGACAGACGTGAGTGCAGAATTTTTGCCACGACCACCCCCTCCCCCATTTTTCCTTGCCAACAAGGACACTGCAAATTTGGTTGGCCCTGCTAGAGTAACTACAAGCAGGATTCCCATGAAATCGCTGGACCTAAGCTCTGTACAAGTGTTTACTGTTGGATCACTTCAGCAGTATACTAATAGCTTCTCTGAAGAAAATTATATTGGAGCAGGCATGCTTGGCAGTGTTTATAGGATTACGCTTCCTGACCAAAAGGTACGATTCCCTTGATTTTTCGTTAACTTATCTTCTGGAACTACGAACTGGTCATTTGGTCGTGTGGCTTATTTTCCTTTTTACATTAGACTCTGTTTGTTCGTTGGCAGTTGGGGTGATGATGCTGGTTTCTTGATTACTTTGTTTGGCTTCCTCATTTCTTATGTCTCTGCCCTGGCATCTAACCCTTCACATTTTTATTTTTTTTGTAGATTTTGGCTGTCAAGAAACTGGACAGTACAGCATGCACACAGCAGAGCGATGAGGAATTTCTTGATTTAGTGTCTAATATCTCTAAAGCAAAACATGCTAATATCGTGAAACTAATGGGTTACTGTGCTGAGCATGGCCAACGGCTACTTGTGTATGAGTATTGCAGAAACGGGACTCTCCATGATGCACTGCATACTGATGATGAAATCCATCATAAGCTTACATGGAGTGTGCGCATCCGCATTGCACTTGGAGCTGCAAGAGCTCTTGAGTAAGCATAGCAATGACTCAAAACCAAAATCTCCGTACTTTATTATTTTTGACATGTGCACTTGTGCATTGAGCTGGCCTTCCACCTAGGTTATTAATCTTATCTTTTACTTTTGGTATAGGTATTTGCATGAGGCCTGTCAGCCACCCATTGTGCACCATAATTTCAGGTCTGCCAATCTTCTCCTTGATGAGGAGCTTGAAGTACGTGTCTCGGACTGTGGTTTAGCTCCTCTGATATTGTCTCCCTCGGTAAGTCTAGTAACGTTCTGGTTTGAAACCTTGATATTATACTTGCAAGTAATAAGCTGACTTGTTGGGTGGAGCCAGCTCACTGTTGGAGATAAGAGTGCAATTTAAGCTATAAATAGACTTGGCTTAATCTATAGCTGATTTGTGTTCGTTGAATCTCAGATGTCTGGGCACCTCCTCACTACTTATGGTTCTGCTGCCCCGGAATTTGACTCAGGAAGTTATACTCACCAAAGTGATGTCTACAGCTTTGGGGTTGTAATGTTGGAGCTCCTTACAGGGAGGAAGGCCTATGACAGGTTGGCAATTACATCAAGAACTAATATGCGTGTTTCTCGCACCTTTCACGGTTAAGTATGTTTGCCTCAGCTGAACTTTAGCTATCATTCACAATTTTGTCTTCTCTTGTTATTAAAAAATCTAGGTCACGGCCTCGTGGGGAGCAATATTTGGTTAGATGGGCAGTTCCGAAGCTTCATGACATTGATGCATTATCAAGGATGGTTGATCCCTCTCTAAATGGAGGATATACAATGAAGTCTTTATCCCGTTTTGCCGATATCATTTCCTCCTGCGTACAAGTGAGTTTTCTTCGTTCCTTTTACCTCCCACCAACTTTTTGTGTTCTTGCTAGACGATGCTTCAGGAATATAAAACTTAAGAAAACGTACCACTGAAATGTTTACACGGAAGTTTTGTGTGTGTTTTGAGTTAGAGTTCGTATCCAGTTCACATCGGAAGCAACGTATTATTTTCCTTAAGGCAACAATTCAATGTTAAATATTTTCAAGGGCTGCTTGGTGTTCCGTTAAGCGATAAATTCACTTTATATCCAATCTTTCTTGCACAGAGGGAGCCAGAATTCCGGCCACGAATATCTGAAATTGTCCAGGAACTCCTACAAATGGTTTAATCAGAGCCTCCAACCTCCAGCAATCAATCAAATGAGGATAAATTCTTAATCGGAAAACGTTTCAAGTCAGGTGGTGAGCTTGCCCGAGTTGCAAGTTAGGTCTGAAAGGGACTTTGGAGTTGTGTGACGGGTGAAGCAGCAGCAGCATACTTTAGACCTCTTTTGACATAAGTTAGTGTACTCATTTGTTTTCTCTTATCAATGGGAATGTACTGCTAATGTAATTTATTTATTTATTTATTTATTTTTAACAATTTCTGTGTGAATCATGGATTAAAAAATCGCTACGACCAAAATTTAAGAAAATCAGGCATTTGACAATTGAAATGTGGGTACAGCTCTCTGTACTGAGTTTCCATGGAACGTCGCCGAAATTTCGGATAAATATCAAAGCTTCGGTTGAATCTCTCTAAAATGTTAAGAGATTCTGATGAAATATCGGTTGAATTTCTGTTTAAAAGGCTGTTGGGTCTTAGTTGTGACTAGGTTTTAATTTTGAGAGCAATTAGATATATTTAAAGTGGAATTTCGGATACATTTGAAATTCTTTATAAAAACTGATATTTTGAATTTAAGCGTTAAATTATGACTATTAATGATAAAAACTTGTACTCATTTCATAGTAGATTGAATTCCCACCAGCTATTCATTTATACGAGCATGGATATACCCCATCAAGATAGATGAATTTGATGGTTCGATCATTTCGTGTCACCGGACGTGGCCGAACCATGTACGATAAGCGTATGTGTCCCTTTTTATCGTAGTTAATGGGCATGGGTTGATCCAAACCCACTTGTTTTGACCAATACCCATCCTTATTGTTTAGGCTTGGATATGTCTTCGTTCAATATGATTGTGGATCGATTAAGGAACGCATCTCGGTCAAAAGTTTCCCGTCATGAGTGCAATACTTAAGAGGACGGGGCTGGATGCACGACTTAGTTGATTTAGGCCGGATGCACCACTTAGTAAATCTGACAAAGATGCTTCAAACCCTCCACGGATAAAATAACTTACAATTACTGAAACACTAACAGATTAGGACATCTCTCACATGGAATGAGCAAGACCTTTGTGTGGTCTAAAATATATATGGACTTGCACTGGAAAGCTAGGAATTAGAAATAAGCCCAAAACAGAAAGAGTAATGCTAGAGAGACCAAATTTTTAAACCAAATTCGCAAATTAAATGATGTGGTTTTAGGTAATTGGATTATTAATTAAGTGTCGATTAACTTGCTTGTTTCTCATTCGTGACACATCATTTGGTTTGTAATTTTGTTTAAAACATTTGGTCTCCCTAGGATTACTCAAACAAAAATAGGTCTGTAACGTTCGTTGCACTATTCCAAACCCTAGCTAGAATTTATGCATTGTATGGGTGCATATCATTCTTTGCCTTTACATAAGGCAGTCAGGTAGGCCTCATTGTCCCATCTCGCGTCGCCTTTGTAGAATTCATGCTTCCAAGAGCCCAAGGCCGAGGCAAAACGTAAACTACTTAGACCATCTTATCAAAAAGAAGAAAAATTAATTACACATCACTGACTTGAGATTTTATTGACATTCCTGCTTTCTGGCACGTAAAAATCAGTGCCATTGATCATTAGAAAACCAAAAAGGTTAATAATATCACAAGTACTCCAAGTTAAAGCAATAAGTTAATTACCTGATTTGCACACCATCGACTGCCAGTTTTCGAGCCAAGTGTTTGACAGGCAATTCGTCACTTGTTTCCCGTTTTTGCATGCATGGACTCGTAGATGATCGACTCTGGGGCGTCAGATTTTGACGTGGGTTCCCGCATGATTTCTAGAATCGGGGATACATAATATAGCTACTTGACAAAAAAGGGACAAGATCCCACCCTAAGGAATAAATCTTCACCTTTCCTAAACTAGGATTGTACTAGAGTGAAAAACAAGTATTGCCCTAATTCAAACTCTTCAAGTTCAGTGTGTACTGTTATAAAAGAGACTCTGCCCTAATGCACAAAAGTTTTTATTGAGGTCGATTGTTCTGACATCCATTGCGTGAATAGACATCAACGCGCGAGCAGCTCCAAATTTTTTGAGCTGTTGTCACGCCCAATTACCTTGCATAATATGGATGTGCATCCTGGGCCGGTACCACAGGATCAGCTGCAGGGGCCACCAGAGGACCAGCCAGAGGGGCCGAATGCCGCAGCTAATGTCCCTGGAGATAATGAAGGGGACACACTTCTTTCAGTTCATCGCGACTCAAACTTGCGACAGTTTATGTTTGCGTTGGACTTGGGGCTGTTTGACAGTGTGCAACAGTTGGAGATTCTCATTAGAGATATCTTTACCACCCTATATAACTTGCGTGGATGGCGGATTCCAGACGACTTGACATGTGTGTACTCTTCCCAGTTATTTGGAGGAGACACATACACTACGGGTCAGGCTATGGTATTGGAATGGCAAGTCTTTCGTCAGCTCATCCGATACATGGTTACTGATGATTATATCTTCGGTAGAACTGTTCCGTTCTATAGAATTTTGCTGACCGGGATGCCAGAGAACGAGGAAGTGTCAATATCAGGCCTTTTGACATCTTTAGCGCAGAACAATATATGCTCACACAAATGTATTCGCCGGAGGACGGGCCGCCTCCATTGCAGCATGCCTTTTCCTACAAACTGTCTCTCCCTGGAATCCTAGGCATCTACGAATATCCTAGGGATCACGTGGTCAACATTCCTCAGGAGGATGTTGAGCGTGGTCTGCAGTGTGTCTTCTGTTCGGATATTGGTCCCAATATTAACAATAATATTGATCCGAACATTGACAACGTTGGTTTCGCTTTTGCTGGTGAAGGTGGGGACGGGCAGCAGGGCCAGCAACAAGAGGAGAATGATGCAGCGAATGTCCCTGGAGTTAACGAAGGGGACAGGCTTATTTCAGTTGATCTCAACTCGAACGTGTGGCAGTTTTTGTTTATGTTGGACCTGACGCTGTTTGGCAGTGTGCAAGAGTTGGAGATTCTCATTGCAACTACCTGTAGGTGCCTATATAACCTCCGTGGATGGCGGATTCCTGACGACTGGACAATTGTGTACTCTCCTGGGTTATTAGGAGGAGACCGATACACCAGGGAGCAGGCTATGGAACTGACATGGCCAGCCTTTTGTGAGCTCATCCGGTACGTGGTTATGGATGACTTTTTCCATGCTAGACTTGTTCCGTTCCGTAGAGTTTTTCCAAGCGGAGAGACGAGATTTCGAGGAGATGTCAATGTCAGGCCTTTTGACATCGATCGCGCTGAACAATATATGCTCGCACGCATGTACGTGCAATTAGACGGGGAGCAGCCTCTGCCCGGGCCTCCATTGCTGCATGCATTTTCCTACATATTCTTTTCCCCTGGAAATCAAGGCCACACAGAATTGCCGAGGGATGACGTGGTCAACAATATGCCTCTGGAGCATGTTGAGCAAAATCTGCAGGCTGTCTTGTGCCGGGATATGGATCTTCTATACATTCAAAATATTAACGTTAACAATATTGATTGGCCGGAGGCGGTTGAGTTTGCCGGTGCAGCAGGAGATGAGGCGGCGGAGTTTGCTGGTGCGGAAGTGGAGGCGGAAAGCGTGGGTTCGAGTTAATAGTCCACCAATATAGAGTAAGCGCGGGTTGTAGAACTGGCTATTATTAGGTTAATTTTAGGATATATATTTTTTTTAATTTCGATTTTTGGATTGAGCTCAAATTTTTATAATAAATATTCAACCCACTGCCATTATTTCAATTTAATTGACGCAACAGAACATAAGATAGATTGATCAAGAAACATTCATCAGTCCGGAATTCAAGAGAAAATAGAGCTAATTGTAACGTTTTATTAAATTAATTGGACAGGAAAGATTAAGATATAGATATGGGGAGTGGAGATTAATAGTATAGGGACATCTCGTTGGAAAGTCAGAGTCGGAATAACCCAAAACAGGTCTGATGCCTGATATCAAACCCCAAAATTTATGCATCGTAGTATGCTTGTATGAGTACATGAGTTTGCCTTTATTCATATGATTTCTCAATCAATTAATTCTTCAATTACTAAAAACCTAAGGGAAGTTTTATTTGAACTCATCTAACATATTTCTACACCTAACTTAAATTTTAAATATGACTTTGTCTTTTTATCCTATTGCATAATTACCATTAAGTACAAAATGAAACTAACAATAAAACTAAAATTTATTAACAAACCCATACCCAATAATCAAAACTATTATCACCGAATCTTTATCCTCCATTCATTCTAGCTAAAACTCTAAGACGTTCTCTTGAGAAAGACAAGCTCTTTTTGAACGATGGAGATGATCATTTTGAAGTTTTAAATCCTCCAACTAAGGTATGAATCGATTTATGCAAATTTTTTTTTGTTTGATTTCACAATCAACCCCTTTTTCAAAGCATAATTACTAGCAGAAACATATATAGGATTTAAAATTTTAAAGTCTAGCTACTTGTGTGAATATCACGCTTTCTTTTCGTTTCATTCATGAAGGGTGGAGGCTATACTTTGCTTGTAGTTCTGATGGCAGTGCATAGCAGCAATATAGCGATTGTCCTTGAATTTGAAGGTGTTGAGTGCCTTCTATCTGGTGAAACAAATGTATGTATGTAGTCTCCAAAAGCTTCCCCGTCTTCCGCTTGTTTCAATTAGTCATAATTTAATTCAGTTGTTGGATGTCGAAAATGTTTCAATTTCATGAAAATATAGGGACGTGAAGTATGTTTGTAGCATAGAAAAACATGCCTTCAATTTCAAAGGTGAATTTTTTATCTTGATTATGATAATTAAAACATAATCTTGTTTTAATTACAAGATTATTGGGTTTTGTTATCGTCATGTAATGGGAAGATGGCGTGCCTCTACTTCTCTTCAAATTCATGTAGGCCTTGCAAGGCTCTTACCTCTCAGATGTGAGACTTTATGAAATGTTTTGAGTGGAAGGCAAAGAGTTTCAAATAATTTTTGTCTTATCCGACTATAATTAGGAAAAATTCAATGAACACTTCCAAGTGCTTGTCATGGCTGATAGTGCTCATCTTCATAAAAGATTGAGTGACATGTATCGCATAAAATGAGCTCCGATACATTGATTTTGGGTTTTTATTTTCTAAATGGGTGTAAAGATAAACTTATATTTTGGATTGAGTTTGTGAGGGTAGTTTAAGTAGTAAATTGGGTTTAAAGAAAAATTAAGAATTCAGTTAAAAGTAATATGGGTGTGAAGAGTAAGTTCGGTATAGAGAGAGATTATATGGGTTCAAATAAAATTTCTCAAAATCTAATCTTTGGTGTGTTTTATTTTTCGTGAAATTCTTCATTCTACAATGTTTTTGATAGCTTATGGTGCATTTATATACACATGTGGAATTTTCCGTACAAGAAATAATAACTTACGATTACAAATAATACAATTATGAACAAGGCTCCTAAACTTAAGGAAAGCTGGTTCCCTTATTTAACACGCCATCTTTATTATGCTCGCGCAAACTTGACGATCGAGAGAAGACAAGTTTGAACCGGACAAAGAGGAACAGTTGCTTGGAGAGTTCTTTGGTGAGACTATTTGCGGGTTGATTCAGAGAAGGCATGAAGAACACTTTCTGCATTCCAAGTTTGACACATGAACAAAATGATAATCTAATTCAATATGCTTAGTGGAAGCATGGAACAACTGATAAATTTTGTAGGCCGAAACATGATCTACCATCAATATTGTTTTGTCATATGACCTATGTGGGATCATATTCTCCAACATGCGCCCCTCACGAGTGGTTCCACATGGGGTCACAAGAGAAACCAATTCTTACATAAGGAACTGATCAAGTAATTACTGGAACTAACTTCAATCTTCGAAAGCCCAACTTTAGGAAGCATTTGAGCCCATGCCGTGTCAATAGAATAACCTGCTCTGGTACCATGATAAACTTGGTAGACTCAAGCATAGTTCACCACCAATATCACCGATATTAATCCAACTTAACCATCTGTTACTAGGTATTTGAGTTTTATCACAGAAGACTTCAGTGATATTAGGAGTGAAAACTCTCATATATTTATTGTATATTATTTTGTTATAAGATTGATATGGGATCCTATCCTCCAACAATAACGAATTTATCACCATATAAGTGCACTTCCCGAAGTACACAGGTCAGCAAGGTTGCGGAGAAGTACAATTCCCAAAGTGACTACGAAACCCAAATGGATTCTCTACACATGCATAAGCTAAATCACGATACGTTGATTCGGCACTGGAGCGAACACCATAGGTGCTTAGTACATCTCCATACAATATGAGATTAGGTCCGTGATTCTTTATTACCTTGCCGTACATATATATTGATGTTGTAATGTGTCGTAGTTTGAAAATTTGCATGGAACGACAATCATCTCTAATATGAATTAAAAATTGGGATATGAATTAGCAGCGTGAAAATAAAAAAGACGTTAGCCTTTTTGCATTACCATGTGTCTTATTTCTGTTGTTTCGTACTTATAATTTCTCCAGGATAAGAAGGTTTAGGGTTTCTTTTAAAAATGCATCACAGCCGCTGATTTTTATCTATAAAAATAAGTGGTTGAGATTTGATTAAATCGGATCATGAGCACAATATCCCATAGCCTAGCCAGCTTCGTGGTCGGTTGCAACACCCGGAATAAAAGAAGAGGAACGTATTAGGATATAAATAGTGATAAGATGTAGTAGAGACCTCGCGTTGTCAGAGAAGGGAAAGAAAAAAGACACAGAGAAGAGACCTTGAGTTTGAAACTCGGAATTGGACATAACCTGCAGAACAGGTCTGTTGCCCAATATCAAACCCTAAATTTATGTATCGTATGTGTACGAGTATATGATTGCCTTCATATATATGATTCCCTCGATCCCTCTTCGGTTGATTTGGACCCTCTGTTAATTTTTCCAGTTTGAATTCTTTCATTGCCAAAACCCTAGTCGATCCCTTTTTTGTCTTTGATATATTTTATTTTCTTTCTGAAATTATTCGTCCCACTACTTATTTCTTGCCGTAACTTATTTCGCTGTTTGAAAATTTGCAGGCAACGACAATCCTAACCCGATATGGCACAGAGCTCTTTTGCCGAATATGCTCGGGGTTGGTTGGTTTGTTTTGTTTTTTTGACTAGTTACCAATATAATATATGTAATACTCATGTGCCGATTTTGGTTTTTTCTCTTTCTTTTTTTAAATAAATATTTGGTGGTAATTTTGAATGTTTAGTTTGAGTTTTGTTCCTCTTTGAATTGTAAATTTATAAGTTGCTTATTGATTAAAGTTCGTTTATTAAAACACAAAAAACAAAACAAAACAAAACAAGAAAATGGAAATTAAGATTGGTGCTTCTGTTTGGTGTGAATTTTGGAAATTCGTGATTAGTTTTCTTTCTCAAATATATCTGTATTCTTCCAAATTTTTTTTTGGGATTATAGGAAACTTTGCGGTTTCAAGGACCATTATTGAGTTAGAGCCTTGGAAAGCCAGAGGATGGGTAATAATTTCACTCAATCTATTTCCTACGATGAATTCTGTGGATGAACTATGTTTTGATTTAACCTGCATGCATGTGGTTTGCGGAGAAGGGTGGGATATTTGAGAAGTTGCAGGAGACTGCCGTGAAGGACAATGTGAAGGCTTGGATTGAGGCGAGGCCTGACATTCTTGACAAGGAGATAGCCATGAGAAAGATGGAGTTAGTTGCCAATTCCCCTTGTTCTTTTTTGTTATCATGACTTGTATATTGCTTCAATGGATTGGGATTGTTGTTTTAATATTCATGCTTTTGATATGTTCAGACCATATTTTAAGAGATGCAAACGTGAACTTCGTGCTTGTCCAGAAGCTAGGGAATTGAGGCAAAAACGTCCAAACTTTGTCCCAGTAGGAATTTATATTTTAGCTACTTCCCATGCGTTCATTCATTTGATAATATACTATATTCTAATTTGTGATCTCATGCAGGTGATTGTGGAGAAGCATGGAAGGAGTGACATTCCTGACATTGAGTTGGTGAAGTTAGTTTCCAATTCCCTTTTGCTTTAGTGATCTTTATTTTGATTGTTACCATGGAGTCGTCGTTTATGCTTTTGGTATATGTTCGGAAATTTATCGGAAAAAGAAAGAAGACCAGTTGCCTTCATAGTTCCTTGTCCTAAATTAATGAAGGGGTTCTCTTCTCACAATTTTATTGCATATTCTGTATTTTTGTCTGCAGATTCAATGTCCATGGTGAGCTGCCACTTGGGGAATTTGTTTATTATATTCGGGGACGGATCGGGTGGCTCAACGTAGACAACATAGACAAGCCTATATTTGTCTCTTTTAAGAACACAGAACCTCCAGCTGGTGAGTTTCCACTCGTTTTTATTTAATATATCACCTTGTTCCCAAAGTTAAAACTGTGATTGTGGTTATAACTCTTCGAATATTGTTATAGGTGCCTTGATGTCTGAAGTCGATGTGGAAAACAAGGGTGAAGATGGATTTCTTCACGTGACCTACAGTGGAGAAGGGAATGCCCCTGAATCCATCAATCATGAGCAAGAATGGAGAGAGAAGACAATGCCTGGACCTGACTTATTGTTGCGGAGAGGGAGAGGGCTTGGTGTGAAGACAATGCGGGAGCTCTCTCAGTCATTGATTCGACTACATGCTTAGTCATTTTAGTTTTAAATCCTGCTTAGTAATTATGTTTATGTCTAATTCTGGTTATGTGCCAAGACGAGGAAGAGGTGTTTTGAGTCTGTACTTTTGCTAAATCTACAAAACTTTCCCCATACATAATCCTCCAAGCGTACCACTGGATGACTGGAAGAATTTGAGTCTCGTTTTAAATGAACATCATGGAGCATCATTGAGCTTCAACGATGAAGGTGCTGGTAGTTTCCGAAGTGAATATAGAATATACCGGACGAGTAATGGACAAGAATCGGCATGTTCTTGACATCTATGGGAGGTCTCATCATAAGTAGTTATTTGAAAATTTCGTACATACGGGGTTGATAATAGTGATTATGGTTTAGTTTGAGAGTATATATCTTCCATACTTTTTTTTATACGTTGTTATTTATTTTCTGGGTAATACAATTTCGTAGGGAGCTCTGCCTATGCCTTAAGCTCTTTCAAGCTTCAAAATCCTCTCTGGTCTTTTTCCTGTCTGTTAATTATAATTGGGATAGGATAGTGAGCCCTAGCTCCCCACATAATTAGGGTTTATGATAAACCCTAAACCCGCAATTTATCCAAAGTATCCTAATTTGGATTATGGCTGCCGAACAGTGGAGAGATGTTCAGTCGGTGAACAAGCACAACAATTTGCGAACCTTGGTTGAGAAAATCATATGTATGATGACAAACAATCATATACTTGTAGACGCATATTAAGATACATAAATTTTAGGTTTGATAGCGGGCAACAAACCTGTTTTGTATCATGTCAAATTCTGACATTCGAACACGATGTCTCTATACTAACATCTTAGGGGTGTGTATTAAGATTTATATGGACTTTTGTTGAGGTTTTTAAGTGATAGACTTTCACTAAATATTATAAAATATAAGAATCCATACACTTTTAATGATATATATGTTATCATTGAGATCTGCCTTCGCGCGAGTAGACGTCAGAAGCTCGAACCTTGTTTTCTTTGCCCGTAAAAAACCCTAGAAGATCTTAAATACAGTGGTGAGTCTTCGAAAGTTTCAAAACAAAAGTATTTTCATTTCTTTTTCTTTCAATAGAACATAGATGCTTATATTTTATGCGTACTTGTGATTCTGTGCCTTTAAATATATCTCTCCTCGTTTGATTGATTTTGACCCTCTGTTATTTTCCCAGTTCTCAACCATCAACAATCAAATCCCTAATCCATTTATGTCAAGTCCTTAGTTTTTGTTTTTCTTATAATTCTAATTGTCTAAGTGATTGAAATTGGAATTGTTAGTTATATTTATAAATTGTTTTTTCTTTTGTATTCTTTTCTCAGTGAGGCTTAACAGACAAAGAAAACGGTGGATACTTCCACTAGTTGGGTAGAAGGTGACGACCCTAATGAATCGACTATGAAGGTGGCTGTTAGCTACATCAGCGCTCAAATTCTTTCATCATCCCTGGCATCGATGATCAACCCCAGGCACATTTAGGTTTTGATCTTCGGCCATCCTGGTCCTCAGGACCCAACACAATATTATTCATTCTTATATATTTCCTTTAAAAGATGCAAAAGGTGTTGATACGTCCTATCCACATAGAAAGCTTACCCTCTTCCACTGTTATTTCTTCGTGATTACTTCATCCTAACATTTTTTTTTGCCATACATACTTACATATACACTGTGATGTTTCGTTGTTTGAAAATTTGAACGGAACAACAATCATACTCGATATGGCAAAAAGCTCTGTCGATGCTAAATATGCTCGGGGTCTATTCGTCTGTTTTTAACTAGTTAATTTTATAGTTTTTGCAATACTCATGTGCCTATTTTGTTTGTTTTAAACATTTTGATATTAATTTTTGGATGTTTAATATTTCCACCAGAGTTACGATATTTGTTCATATTTAAATTGGAAGTCGCTTTATTGAAAGAAAAAGAAGAAGAGAGACATAAATTAGGATTTTCTGCTTCTGTTTGGTGTGAATTTTGAATATTGATGATTGTTTTCTTTCCATTTTTTTTGGGAATAAAGGAAACTTTGCGATTTCAAGGCCCATTGTTGTGTTAAGGTGAAAGGATGGGTAAGAATTTTACTCGGTCAATATCCTACGCACGTATGCATTTTTAAATGCAGTACTAATTTGAGCTTCCATACATGTGATTTGCGGAGAAGTGTGGTATGTATGATGAGTTGCAGGAGACTATCATGAAGGAGAATGCCGCTTGGATTGCCGCGAGGCCTGACATTCCTGGCAAGGAGGATGCCATGAGGAATATTGAGTTAGTTGCCAATTCCCTTGCTGTCTTGAGTTGTCTTGATTAATTTGTACTGCTTCAATAGATTGGGATTGTTGTTTTTCCATTTACGCTTTTGATATGTGTTCAGGTTATATATTAAGAGATTCAAACACAAACTCCATACTTGTGCAAAAGCTTGGGAGTTAAGGGAGAAGCGTCGAGGCTTTGTACCAGTAAGAATTTCACCCTGTCAAATTTATGTTTTACTTCCTCTCCATGCGTTCATTCAATTGGATATATATTATAATTTGAGCTCCCATACAGGTGATTGTGAAGGATGGAAGGAGTGACATTCCCGACGTTGAGTATGACAAGTTAGTTTCCAATTTCCTTTTGCTTTAGTCATCTTATTTTTGTTGTTACCATGGATTAGTCGTTTATGTATTCATCTGCAAAGAAAGAAGACATTTGTGTTCATAGTTCCTTGTCTTATACGAAGGCGGGTTCTTATTGCCTGTTCTGTTAATTTAATTTCAGCCTACAGAATGCTTGTCCACGGTGAGCTGCCTCTTGGTGAATATATTTATTTCATTCGGGCATGGATCGGGTGGCTCAACATAGAGACCATAGACAAGCCTATTTTTGTTTCCTTCAAGAACATTGAGCCTCCCATTGGTGAGTTGCAACTCAACTTTGTTTTAGTTTTAGGTTTAAATATGTCATTTTGTTCCCAAAGTTAAAGTTGTGGCTGTTAAAATAATTCTTCCAATGATTTGATAGGTGCCTTGATGTCTGAAGTCGATGAGCAAAACAAGGATGAAGATGGATTCCTCCATGTCACCTACGGCGGAGAAGGGAAGGCCCATGGAACCATCAATCACGAGCAATATGGAGAGAGAGAGAGAGAAGACAAAGCCTGGACCTAACTTATTGTTGCGGAGAGGAGTTATGCCAATTTCAGGACGTAATGGAAAATTACACCAAGAAACCAAAATAGTATATATTTTTCTTCAACCACTTGCTTAGTTATTAAATTTTTCTTCTATCGATTTTAAATTTCATTGTCTAAGATGAAGAGTTATGCTAATTTCAGGGATGAATCACTCTTCAACCACCTACATTGTTGTCTGACTCTTTTATAATTCCCTCAAAACGAAAAAGTATTCACACCTATCTTCAAATGTATTGGGCCACCCCACCCCACCCCAACCCCGCGCCCCCCCCCCCCCCCCCCCACAAATAAACAAAAACCAACTCCACCCCACCCAATAGGCTGATCCAAAGTGAAGGCCAGCTTTGAGCCCAGCACATATTAAATTGTGCAAGAGACCGGCCTACATGACTCAAGGATGACGTCAGCCCCCACCACCCCCCCCCCCCCCCCAAAACAAAAACCAACTCCACCCCACCCAATAGGCTGACCCAAAGTGGAGGCCAGCTTTGAGCCCAGCACATATTAAATTGTGCAAGAGACCGGCCCACATGACTCAAGGATGACGTCAGCCATTTGAATTTCATTTTTTTTTTTTGCTGCTGGCACGTGGGATATACGCACATGTGGGCGCACATTCCAACATTAAAAAAAAGGCAGAATCTTAAGGGTCATGTGTCCACTTTTGGGCGGTTGGATTTCCTTTTTTGAAATCCAACGATCCAGATTAATAAACTTAATAAAAAATTATTTAAAAATACAAATTTATATATATATATATATATATAAATACCTAACCATCTTTCACAAAAAAATGTAATTTCGGAAAATGACACATGACGAGACAAGATTAGTAAAAAATTTATCTGAAATTAAAAATAAAATTCTTTTTTATTATTTTATAAAAATATTAATAATATTTTAATACGAATTGACTATACTTTTGCCGAGCTCATTTTTTAGGGGTAGAGATGCACTTGATCAATTACTGTTCATTGGAGTCAATTACTATTTATTTGGTGGATTAAATGGACTTTAGGCCAGCTCATTTTTTAGAGATGGAGTTGCTCTAATGGTAACCATATGAACATAATTAAAAAAAACCAAGAGAAAATTTGAAATAGGTCTAATTTTATAGGCCACCTTTTGAAATAGGTCCAATTTTTAGTGACTTTTAACTTTTGAAATAGGTTTAATTTTTAGTTACTTTAAACCCATATCAAAAAACCCCTTAAACCAAATAATCCTCTACGCACCACACCATACAACATACCTAATATCTGTAGGTTTGCAACTTTCTGAGCAAATTCCCGCACACAAATGATGCCACCAAACTGATTCCAATTACATGATGTATTAGGAACAACAATTACACACATAAACGTGCACGCAAAGGTGGCCTTTTCCTGCAGATGATCACCATTTGATATCATCCAGATCCAAGTTTTAAACCATGCAGCTCGCGGGGGCACGTGCGGGACAAAAACCAACGTCAAACGCAGGCAGGAGGACTCAGGATTCCCATAACCTAAATATTTCGACTCGTGCGTTTTCTTGGAGTCATCAACTAGCCATGCCTTCAAGTTATTATTTGCAGCAGATTAAACTAATACGTAATTAAGCAGCAGCACCAACAAACTTTCAGCTTCGAAACCACTCCAAGTCCAACCTTCCCAATTCATAATATTTTGTGAGGTGTGATATCCACACATCTTTTTTTACTTCTTTCACATCTTTTAGTTTTTAGCGCTCAGATCGGATGAATTGAAGAAAATCAACGAACAAAAATTAACAAGAGGTGTGTGAGAAGTAAAAAGAGATGTATAAATAGCACATCCCTATTTTTTTTTTAATTATATCAAATAATTAATGGTTAAGCACCACCAAACACAAAACTACACCAAGAAACCAAATCCATGTGACCTTTTTTTTTATCAATGATGACAAAAACTCCTAACTTTAGCACCTCCGCCATATGTTTAACTTTCTTCATTTTTTTTCTGGCCTAAGAAAAATTCTTCATTATTTTATAATTTTCGGGCACAGTTTATAGTTTATACGTTATGCATTGCGGAGTCCCATAACTAAGAGAGGTTTTTCAGTGTGCTAGAAACAGAACACAACCTATTATACAAAGTGTAATATTACAATTGGTACCAATTATATTATTACACTTGATATAAATTGTGTTATTCCCGGCACATTGAAAAATTTCTTCATAACGAGGCATATATATTATTTTAATAATTTTTCGATATGATAGCCACACATTCACGTAATGTTACCAATCACCTTATATTATAGTATTTATATGTATTTTAAGTATCATATAATATGTCCAGGACATCGGGTGCATAAACTAAGACAAGGCTTGAGTGGCCTCTAGCGAAGGGGAAGGTTTATAATTCTTAGACCGCCCACCCCATCCCACATATACTATGTTATCCCAACGGTTCCAACCTACTAAGCATAAATTAACCCACCCCCACTCTATCCGCTCCAAAAATGCAAAACCAGTCTTCTGCTAATTAAGAATAAATTTTACGTACTTCTTGATATGGTAGAAGAACTATTATCCTACTCCTATATAAATTTCTGGTTCTACTCTTGCATTATATTACATATCAAATACAACATCGTCTATTTATATTATATCACAATAAAAAGCTTCTCGTGTCATCCTTCCAATAACGCCCAACCATATTATGAATATTATACTAGCTGCTAATTAACCTACGTATCGGACTCCAACCAATCATCTTGAAAGTGCTAATTTTCCGTCTAATTTCTACTTTAATGCGTTTTATGATTCCCATACTCCACTAAAGTGTAGTGGAACTTAAACAATGTCATTAATTAAGTATCCTTTGATTTATATACTAATCAATCTCATTTCTTATCACTTTATTATGCTAAGTCTACATATTAACACATTTTAAGGGCTTTTTAGGGCCATGACATAGCACAAATCTGTTTGAGGACTTACCAAGAGAGTCTTAGTCTTTTTTTTTTGTTTTTATAGATCACTCACTAAGAAAGGTTGTCGGCAACAAAACTCAAATTTAAGTCTTAGTCTAAAGAAGATAACGATCTTTAGCAAGAAGATGCCTTTTTTGGAAATAGATCTCTGTGAACCCATGTCCATCATCACATGGTAAAGGTGACGATCATAAACTTAAAAACGATAGATTGAATGCTACACTTGGTAAGCTTTAGGGTTCTTCAAAACTTACTTTTAAGTCAATTGATTGAGATTTTTGTCACGCATCCGTAACAGAAAATAGAAAGGCAAACCGCCAACAACGACCCATAAAAAAAAGGTTTGGTGAGTATTAGGTAAATGTGATTTCTCACCAAAAATTCTTATAAATATAAATAAATTAATAGATTACTTAACTACTTTCCTTAATCTAACTTTTTATATTTTCTTCATTCATTCATTGGATAAGAAAATTTAGAGTTAAAGCATTGGTGCTTATGCATTTTGGTACGATTTCGATTCCTACCAATCTCCTTTCTTCTTCATAACTAACAATTTAACTCACTAACACTATTGTTTATAAAAGAGAAAACTATTATTTATTTATTTTAAGTTTTTAGTGATTTGACTCCCTAACGTTATTATTTATGAAAAAATAATGATTACGCCACCATGACTGTCACATCTGGCCCAGGGTCCACCACATCCCTGACCCGCTCCACCATTGTAGCACGATATTGTCAGTTTTGGGCCTCGACTACACCCTCACGGTTTTGTTTCTGGGAACTCAGACAAGAACTTCCCAGTGGATCACCCATCATGAGAGCGCGCTCAGTCATCCATCATAGGAGTACTCTCGCGCGCTACTCGCTTAACTTCAGAGTTTCCATGGAACCCGAAGCCAATGAACTCCCAAAAGATCTCGTGCTAGGTAGAAATAGGAATATATATATAAGACTTATATGATCCACTTCTCTAGACGATGTGGGATGTTACAATCACATTGGTAATTATTGAGGAAAAAGAACACTAGCATAGCAGGTAGCCTGCAACTTAATTTGTTAAAGAGTTTTCATTTTTATAATTTAACATAAATTTTTTATCAGTTTGTTAAGAAAAAAAAAATCGTAAACCGTGGCTGAAAAGGTAATTGGCTAGATTAATTGTTCGGTAATTATAAAAAAAGACCACAGATTTGTGGTGGTCGTAAAAAATAGTTGGCAGTCCGGCTTTTGAGGGGGAAAGGTGGAAGAAGCTGATTGGTCCACAGCTTCTAGTTCCTACACCAAATCCAACGATCTCCTTGTATAGAACAAAGCATCTGAGAGGTGTTTTGCAATGGAAAGTGACTTTTGTCCTAATGGGTCCATGCTTTCGTGTATTTACAAAACAACCCAAAATTAGTGAATGCGACCCACGTTTTTAATTTTCTAGTTTTTTGTGTAGGGATATATTATATTATATGTTTAACGCTGCAAATTTGACAGAATAATAAAGTTATTCAAACTTTTCTATATGCCTTACCATGATTAGACTTCGCAAGTTGTTTAAGGTATCACAAGTGTAACGTATACACACTCGTTTAGGAGAAGTATAAAATATGTTTTTATTGTAGAAAGTGCTTATTGTAGAAAATGCTTAAAAGGTTTTTTTAAGATTTTTTTTTTAATTTTTATTAAGATTGGTTTTTAAAATATTGTCACCAATATCATTTTCATTCATTTTAAAAATGTTTTTAAATAAGCCACTTAGTACTACGATATGTGATATTTTTGCCTAGCTCATTATAAGGCTAAGCTATCTTTCCTTTAGTATAGATAATATCGTTTATTAAAAAAAAAAAAAAAACACTTCCAAATTAGACATTAGTTGTAAAAGTACTATAATGCTAAGAGAATTAAGGATGTGTGTAATTTTTTTTCCCTCTTTTTTACAAAGAAGACTAGCTAGTGGCTTCGTCCTTACAATTTTTATTTTTATTTATTTTTGAGGACCGAAAAGACTCATAAAAACAT